TGTGTTCTCTGTATTGAAGAGAGCTTTGTTAAAGAATATATTAACCAAAGGCCAAGGCTCTTTATTCATAATAAAGCTGACCGCAAAAATTCCATCAATTAAATGGAGGAAGCACAATAAGATCGAATGGCTGAGGTTGGGAGGAGTTTCAGGGGGTGTTAGGGGAAGGCTGCAGCCATGACATTATTTTTACTATTATTTGTATTATTTGAAGTTTCCTGGGTGTTTATTAAAGTGAAGTTGAGTTTGGAACAAGGAGGAGGAAGTGTGAGAATAGAAGGGTCAATGAAGAAGAAACAGTAAGGTCTTGAAAAGCAAAATAAATGTTTTTTACATTCTTATCTGTCATAATTTGAGATGCTAAAATATTCTGTAAATTCTCTGATTGTGGCCTGGATGGAGAAGGCAGCAGGTGATCAACATGCAGTGTACGTGCAGGAAACAGAACAGATTTTTCTACACATCACTGGGCAACTTTTTACTCCTACAATTCTAAACTGAGCTCTTTATCCAGCACTGTGATATTATTTTCATGTCTTAATAGTTTTTTTAAGGCCAGTAGGGAATATGATGAACATTAACGTCTAAACTCTTGCAACAACAGCCGAAGGATTCAACCCTGTAACTCCTGCCAATAGTCTCTGATTGAGCAACAGCCGCCTTGAGAAAGTTGTCAGCTTATTCCAGTGACTGGTGTTAGAGAGGAAGAAGTTCCTTTGAGCAGGCAAAATCTTATCTATCATGTTCTGATGTTTATCCAGGGCTTAACATTGTGAGGGAATGATTGGTGCAGAGGGTAAAAAGCATCTCTATTCTTCACTGGTTATTGTATATTCAGCCAGCGTTCATCAGGCTGGAGCTCCAGCCTGATGGATCTCTCCCCACTAGCTTCTGTGTTAGGTAACTCACTAATGCTGCCCCAGAAATGTATTGAGGTATGTAAGTTTTAAGGATAAAATTCCCAGTTTAAAGAGAAAAATAATACACCAAATCTTGTGGTACAGGGTGTGTACAGAGGGACACCAGAAGCCCACGTCATTTGCACTTTCTTGGTATGTTTAGATTTTCCTCACCATTGCACCAAATGCTAGTGCACCACTCGTACAAGGAGGACAATTCCTAATGGCACTGCAGCTCTGTACATCAAGTATATATCTTAGTACCAGGAGCCAGATGCCTGCTGTTTAGAAAGAAGCTCTATGAAGTGATTCGATTCCAAACAGCAATGTTCTGGTGTGAAGGATGGAGAGAGTTGTGAAATGTTTTAATTTGTTTGGTGGCAGGGGAACGTGGTAAAAACCAATTTATAAATTCTGTAGGTACCATCTATTTTTTGTCATCTGGACAAGTAAAAGCCATAAATATAGGATAACGCTATTCCAGCAGTGAATTATATGTCCTTTGCCATCACTGAGTGGTTGTCAAGAGCTGGCACAAGAGAGTTATACAAGTTCCCCCAAAGTAATGCAGTCATCTACTGTTACCACAAGGCATATGATTTTTCTTTTTTCCTTTTGGTTCAATGTAAATTACAATATTTTAGTTGAAAGAAACTAGAAAAGGGTAAAGGACAGGAGAAGCGTAGTCCTTTTTAGTTGGATTTCAACATATTCTGGGAGCGCATGAGGTAAAAACTTTCAGCTGGCTTAAGCCTCCACCTGTGTCTTGTAGAACGTTTTAGCTTTTGTTTTGTCTTCCTGTAAGTTTTTTGGGGACAAGGTTTTATTGTATTGGTTTTATCCAGCTTTGTAGGAGAAATTTTCACCTCTCTTAATATCTTGGACCTTTTCGGGACCCCTTATGATAGTCTTTTAGCTCATCACTGTTTTCGTCTTCATTTCATCCATATAGGTCCCAGTCAAAGGGAAGGAGGTAACTAGTGTGGAGTCTCTCAGGAAACCTCATGCAGCAAGGTGCTGGAGCTGCCCTTTACAAGTGCCCTGACAAAATGAGCTCCCTTCATTTCTGTTCACCCCGTGTTCAGTAAGATAATGGAAACCACACAAATTGTTCAGTTTCTTTCTCCTCAAAGAAATAATAAGCTAAAGAGGAAAAAAGCACTGTCCCAGTGGTTCTGTGAGACAGATCACTGCTAAGCAGGAGAAATGGCTGCAACAACAAAATGCTGATTTCTGAGGTGTTTCAGTGCTCCGACTCGGATTTTACATTGATTATATGCCAAGTCATTATTTAGGCAACCCAGATAATCTGCATTGCATCTTCAGATGGGAGAATCACTGAGGCACCTGCTCTGTGTTTGTCTGATGGAATAGAGAAACTTGGTATGAATAAAAGAAGAAAAGAGATGTTGGCCCCAGATACTGCCCATCCCTGGAGGATGTGTTTGAGCAGTGAGGCTATGACAAGAGGCACCATAATGCACTCTGAGGGCTGCACAAGAGTGAAGGATTTAATCAGGTTTTTCTGCCTTCTCCGGCAGATGTGTTGACAATCCATAAGCGTACGGCTCTCATTTGCGGGAGTTATTTGCCCCCAAGAGCTTTAATGTAATTTTCAGGCAGTTTCCTAGCCCCCGTTTCTCTCATTTCTTAAATATATGTGTTTCCTCAAGAGAAAAGGGTAATAATCCTCTGAAACAGAAATGGATGGAATTCAGCCCAGTCAAAACCAATCAGATGCTTTAGATTTGAGGTTTATATCCTTCGTTTAAATGATCTGCTAATGAACATGAGCAGAAACACAGAGCAGGGTTGGTCACAGGGAATTCACTGACATTCAGTCGCTCTGATTTTTTTCTCTCTTCTCTGTTGGTGCCCACATTATCTGACAAAAGTGTGGTTTTACTTGAGTTTTTTTATTACTTTTTTTTAATCAAAGACATTATTGGCTTCTTACTGCTTTTTGGAGAGAGATTGAATAATCAAAGCTGCTTCTATCTGCAACATACAAAATTATTCAAGTTAATATTGCAGATGCTGGGGAAGTGGGGACAAGGAGTGCTTCACAGGGGCTGGAAATCTCTCCTCACCCATACTGGGAGAGTGTACATTTGTACGTTAAGGGTCCATGTGTGCGAAGGCTCATCTTCGGTGGGTCTTAAGGTGGATTATTTGTAGGTTAAAGCTTTACGGTTTACCTACAAAGTGAAAAAGTTGTCTTCTGCTTTCCTTAGTGGATGCTGCCAAGTGTGGAGACTTGACTTCCTTGAGGGTTCACTGAGTACTCTGATGTGTTTGACAGCTCAAAAGAGCATCAAGATAAAAGTGGTCTTAACCATTTCACAGCTAGGTAACGAAGAGAAGCAGAAAAGCTAGGTGTAGACATGGTGTGCCTCTGGTAAGTCAAACAAAATTCTGACTTTAAATGTTCACTTTTCAGAAGGCAATGCAAGTTTTTAAAGGAAAAGAAAGAAAGTCTTTGTGATTGATGCATTAAAGTATGGCTCAGGAGACAAGCTAAAAACCTAATTGTTTCTGCAGCTTTTATGAGTGTGATTCATCTGGTATGATTTTACCTACCTGCAAGTTAAGTGTTTAATCTACACTGGTTATTCAAGGGCCTTTTATGAGAGACACACATTTCTAGTTCATCCAACGTATCGAAAATTATAACTCTTTTCTATAACAAGAGGATGAGCCTCTCTTCCTAAAAGATGGTTTAGATGAGGTGATTTAAACAAGGTGGTTTAGATGGATGCATCTCATCCACCTTCACCATTCCCTTGGCATTGTAGCAGCAAGGACCTTTTCTCCATCTGAGTCTCAGCTTCCCCTCTGGCAGAGGTTTTAGACATGTATGTATTATCATTTATGGGGTGCGTATACATGACTAGTTATGTACAAAGGCCAGACTAAAAGTCTGAAATAAAATGGATAGTAGTTACATTTTCTGTTTGGCTCGTCATTCCTCCTCTTGTAAACTTCAAGGCTTTATGATGTTCATACAGGGTCCTAGAGCAGAGCCATGATGTCGTAGTGTCTCACTTAGAAGAATTAAAATTTCTCTTGGGGCCCAGAACAGAAAGCTCTTGCATGACAAAATTACTATGAATAATTTTGGGTTTTTCTCAGTGACGAAGTTTAAAATGTAGCAAAATCTCAATAGCCTGGTTAGCTGATCAGCCTGCATCCTGACTTGTATTAGAAATTTTGTGACCAGCAGAAGAAGGGAGGTGATTGTCCCTCTGTACTCAGCACTGGTGAGGCCGCACCTTGAGTATTTTGTTCAGTTTTGGGCACCTCAGTATAGGAGAGATATCGAGGTGTTGGAGCGAGTGCAGAGGAGGGCAACAAAGCTGGTGAAGGACCTGGAGAACAGACCTTATGAGGAGCAATTGAGGGAGCTGGGTCTGTTCAGTTTGACAAAGAGGAGGCTGAGGGGGGATCTCATCATGCTCTACAATTACTTGAAAGGACATTGTAGAAAGGTTGGTGCTGGTCTCTTCTCACAGATAATTAGGGACAGAACCAGGGGGAATGGTTGCAAGTTGCAACAGGGCAAGTTTAGGCTGGACATTAGGAAGAAATTCTTCACAGAAAGAGTGGTCAGACACTGGAATAGACTGCCTAGGGAGGTGGTTGAGTTGCCATCCCTGGGTGTGTTCAAGTGTTGCTTAGATGTGGTGTTGGGTGATCTGGTTTAGGGGTGAACTTGTAGTGTAGGGTTTGTGGTTTGACTTGATGATCCCAAGGGTCTTTTCCAACCTGAATTGTTCTATGATTCTATGCTAGGTTGATTGACAAAGTTTTGAGAAAGTGACTGGTCCCGTACTTGCTGTTTCTGTGTGATGTTTGCAAATAATAGTGCAATGCTAAATTTTGTGGTCTAGTCATTGCAGTTCAAGACTCATCAACACTTTCCGTGAACAATAATACTATTAATATCTTGAACAAGATTGGTTTATTGGTCTCTTTTTTTGTTCTTTTTCTTTGCAAGTAGCCCTGTTGTTGTGCTCAGCATTATTGTAAGCTGGTTTATGGTCAACTCAAAAAAGCAAAATATGGCCTTAATTTTGAATTTTATCTTGTTTTTCTTTTCAGTGGCTGCATCAACTGCTAATTCCACAGCTGGTGCGGCCATGAATTCTTTGACTTCTCTGGGTACCCTCCAAGGACTGGCTGGAGCCACTGTTGGACTGAATAATATTAATGCACTAGCAGGTACCGTAAACAGTGAGTATTTATTGCTGTGGTGGACAGCCTTCCCCAGTAATCATGCCACAAAAACTATCAGTTGTAAAGTGATGATATTATTATTTTTGATCTCTATACAAAATAAGGGGGTCAAGTTGATCTAGTTCCATTTGTGGTACATATGCAGTTCTGGAGTCTTTCAGTTTCACATAGTTTGCTTTGCAAAGTGAAGTCCCTTGGGTCCCTGCACAAAGACTCCTTTTCTTGCAGGGTGTACGGAAGGTAAAAGAAATGTCACCAGGGATTTGGGTTGTCTAAGTTGTAGGAGAGGCTCCTTTATCGTTTAGGGAGTCTGACAACAGGTATATCACTCCAGTGTACAAAACCTCACTCAGAAATGTAGTGATAAGAAAGGTGTTTGCCACGGGGGCAGTCCTTTTAAAATGTCTGTAGGAGTTACCAGTTTGCCTTTAGAACAACATGCTTTAAAATTGAAGGCAAGTCTTTGGCTTTCAATTGGCAAGAGAGTGGCATAGCCAATCACCTGTAATACCAGAGCATGCACACCTATCCTGTGACATCCTAAACAAAGCCTGGCATCTCCAGCTAAGTAGATGCTGGTAATTGTTAGAACATTCTTCCTTGTTCTTAGCCTTGGTCAAGATTTTCCTGAAGAAGAAGGATTTTTTTTTTTATTGTTTCTGCTACAATGACTTCACCTTTGCCTGCAATGGAAGAGATTTGTCCAGCTGCATTTTCCCCCTCCTTTCTATTTTAGCTGCTGTTTCTCCTTGCATTTCCTTTTGCAATGCAAGGAATCTATTAGGTCATTGCCAGTCCATAACCCATCATAATGTACCCCCAGGAATGGATGTCCTCCTCAGTATCTCTTGCTCACTCTGATGCTCTGCATGATGTCCTTTTTGTCACTGTTACTTGGCTGCTCACCCAATCTTTTTGTTCTGTGATCTCTGGTTGTCATTGTTGGGAGTTGGGAAGGAAGGGGGCTAGTGGATGTCCATGTAGCAATGTTGAGTGGTTGCATGGGGTCTTGTGTAAAACAGGTCTTGCTTCTGGCAAGGACGTGTATTTCACGCAAATAACCTTGTAGTAAATATGACTCAAGAAAAACTTAAGAAAAGTAAGTATCAGGTCCCAAAATGGCAGATGTTAGTTTCCGTTCTTATTATTACATTAATGTTAAAGCAAGTCACTGAAAATGGCGCGCATTAAAAGCTAACATATCTCCTCTCATGAGCTCTCATAGTAAGAGAGCTGCCCTGTTATAAGATCGTTAAATATCCTTTCCTGATAGTCATTGTGCTTTTCTTGGTTTATAAGAAGTCACAACATAAAGAGCAGAGTATGGCATCCCACTCCTTCCCTCCCACAAGTACGAAGAACGCAGGCACGCTGGAGCACTCTGTGATAATGTCCCTTTCATCAAGATCAAGCAAGAATGACTCATTTATGAGCTCTTGACTTTGTGTGGGAACCCTTCTGTTACACTCCTTTTGACATTTCTTGCTAGGCTACAAGCAAAGAGATTACATTCTCTCAGCAAGTATTTTGAGGTGGTGTGTGTGCAAACTTATCTGCATGTGTCATTTGAGGCTTTAATGACATATTCACAAAGTGCCAACTTTCAGCTTGTTTTAAGCCACCATTACTTCCATGGACTTGTATCAACAGTGGCTTCAGCCCCAAATCTTCTTCATGGATGTTTTTGTGGGCACGTGCCTGGAATATTCGTATGTGTATAGTGCTTACAAAGTGTGTGTGGATATGTCTGTCTGTGTACGTACATACATGAGAGAGATCTACAGAGGGGAAACTGCTTCCCCACAGCACAGCACAGTGTTGTGGCACTGTTTCTCTCAAAAGGGTGACAGGTTATCAATTTCAGGTACTTGTGATGCTAATGGTAGCAAAGCATCGTTCAAATTGCAGCCTCCTCTCTATTTTAATGACGAGCCAGAGCTTTCTGCAGTGACCATATCTGATCCAGTTGTTCACACTGAAACCTGCTTAGGAGTTTGCCTCCAGGAAACCAGATGTTCCATGGGGCTGATGTTTCGCACTGTGCCGTGGTTATAAGCACTCTGATCAAAAGACTCATTGGTTATGGAAGTCCCTGAAGTAATTGTGCAGAAAAGGTGGAACTGCGTGACAGGCTTGTAATTGGGGAGCTAACAATAGCGATCCAAAGCACAAGTCAAGCAGATCTTAACCCAGGAATTGATCGGAGGGTGGCACTAGGCTTGGACATTGATTTACACAGAGGTGGAAAGAGAGGTGGAAGAGATAGCCTTCTGTTGAAGCCGTGTCCTGCTTTGTATGTGGGAATTGTAAGGAGAATGTCTTCCAGGCTGAGCTCGCTAGGAGACTTCAGTCTGTTTTCTGGATCCTAGCTGGGTCCATGAAAATGAAGCTGGGCTGTGCAGGCGGATAGTGCTCTCAGTGTAACGAGAAGCATTGTAGAGTGTAGACATTCACATGCAGAGATTCACCCATTCCTCCCTCAGTTGTGCTTGAAGCATCTAAAACCTTAAATGACAAAACATTTTACTATCTCCTTTGTGCACGTAAATTTAAGTAATGTAACTAACAAAAAGAATTACAAATTATGAGGAAAAATGAATAAAAAGAGAGGAAGAGATTCTTTGCAATTAAGAAAGAAGACTATGGATTCCGGATACTGGACAGCTGTGACACGGTATCTGTGTGTGAACCCAGGGCAGTCACTTAGCCTTGCCGCCCTCGTATTTACTTCTGTAAAATGGAGATAAAACTATTCATGACAGATTTGAAGGTGCTTAGAAAGCACTTTGGACTTGCCAAGCATTGTCACTTGTGTATTATGCAGAGTAACTCCAAAAAAGTAGGAGGCCATAGATGAGAGACTCCAAAAGGTTATTTCACAGAACTGAGGAAGGGACCGGAATTCAATGCCAGACTGAGGTGCATTGGTGGAGATAATAAAGAGATGGCAGAGATGTGTAACTGCAGCTGGACCTTGCAGATTTCATAAAAATGTGAAAAGGGAGAATGGAAAAAAATGTCGAGAGCTTTCTGCAGATCTGTTTTGCTCAGGAGGGAAGTGTATGTAGACACGTGCGCTACAGTAGCAGTAGCCGTGCCCTTCCCAGAAGCAGTGCGGTGAGCCGGGGCTGCCTGACTGTTTGCTAATCTGAAATCATGTGGTGGGAAGGAGCTATTGATTCGAGGGGAAAGAAGGGGGAGGATGCTGCCCACTGCAACACAAAGCATGTTTATCTAACAAGCTGATGACTCACAAAAGATAATATGTTATCCTAATACTTTATTATCAAGTTATTTCAACACTATAATAAAAGGAGAGATACAAGCTGCTTTATCAGGAGCTTTTACTTTAACCAGTGCTGGGTGTACACCCATACAAGCCATGTCACAAACCTAAGCACAAAAATGTCAGAGCAGGTTAAGGTCAGGCTCAGGAACAAATAATAATAACAACAACATTGTTATTGCTATTATTACTACCATTTGGATCTTAATTTTCCAAATTTCCTGCCTTTTAGACACAAGATGTTTCACAAGCTGTCTTGGTTTGCAAGTTTTTGTTTTATAACTGGAACCATTACACAACAAGTGTGTGGCTCTCGTGCTCTGGCAGAGGCTTTTGTTCAAAGTAGTGGCAGCCGGTACCTCCTTTCAGGATGCAGCGATGCTCTGAAGTGGGGTGGAAGGGAAAAAGAAATCTTCAAAGTGCGAGACATTTTATTAAGTAAGGGCTAAGAATATCACATCTCTGTCAAGTGTTTAGTCACACAAATTATAGTAATATCAAAAGGTATAATTTATGCAGTACAATTCTCTTAATTGCCACAGACTCTGGTGGAGCCAGAAAGGTGCCACTTGAGCAATTGTCCTGATTATTGGAGACTCATAGGAATACACTTTTTGAATCTACATAAGAGATGGAAGAAAACTAGTAGGTCACCATCTTTATCCTCCTCTGTCAATGCAGAATAATTCCTTGCAGTATTTCTTCTATCTCTAAATTACTCATGCGATAAGGTTTATGCCACGTTCCTTGAAGATTGTTTCCCAGTCTAATATTTCATTGTTAATTCACTATAAAGTGACTTCTGCTTAATTTCCTCATTTTCCTCCAATTTATATGTCACCCCTTATTATTGCTCTGAAACTAAGCACTCTTTTTTCTATTTTCCTAACTTTTGGATCTTTATATGGCTTCACCATCATTTCACCAACCAAAACACTGCACAGTGTCTAAGAAATGGTTGAGGGGGGTTCTGGATGCCTCGTTTTTCATAGAATCATAGATCATAGAATGGCCTAGGCTGGAAGGGACCTTAGACATCATCTAGTCCAACCTCCCTGTCATGGGCAGGGACGCCACCTCTCGACTAGATCTGGCAACACGTGGGGATTTGCTGGTAACTGATCTACTGTACTTCAAGGGGCACAATTAAGCCCTTTTAAATTGTTCATTCACCTAAAAACTGGGGAGCACAGGATACCTAGTTGTGCAGAAACCATGGCCTAACTCTTAAGACCTGGTGAGCTCTTACTGCTCTGTTTGACACAAGTCACAGATGTGGGTGATGAGGTGGGCTCTGAACTCTGCCACCCCATGAACTGCCAAAAAGACTGTACCTCCAACAGAAAATTTACCTTTCCTGGAGTTTCTGGGGAGAAAAAAAAATAAGTGTTAACCCTGTTAACTTCAGTGTGACTCATTTTAAGAGCCATGATGAGGAATAGAAGCAATGGAGAGGTGATCTAAGTCAGGAGTTTGTCAACCATCGAGTCAGAGTAGTAAAATTTTAGTGGACTACGCTGTTTGCATGGATGAGGGATGCCATTTTCTGCACAGCTAGCAATCCCGTCTGAAATTTCCTCTTTGGCAGTAATCCCAGATAAATTAATCTGTTATTTATCAGGATGTAGAATCGCTTTTAAAAAAAAAACAACATGAAGCAACTCTGCTTCCAGTGAGAAGAAAGACATTGCTAGAATCAAATGCTTTTGTTCCTTCCTGAAAGATGTCTTATCTGGGTGAAGCACTTTTAGTCACTTTAGATGTGCTGCTGTTCATCTCTTCTGGAGTAACTGGAGGAGGGAAGTGGCAGCACAGAGCATCACAGTCCATCTTCCTACCACAAACCTAAGGGACAAGGCCCATAATTGTACAGAGGGCTGTTTCAAAATGCTGTTAATAGAGGTTCTCTACCTTACTTTGTGTAAGCAAAACACCTCTGATATGGTGTGACGACAGCATGTTGCCGAAGACCCTGGTCAGAAAGAGCGGGTTTCCAGACTAGTTTTTTCCCCAGTGGCCAGCTTGCAAGGATACAGGTCAGACAGGTGCCTCTCTTCTAGAAACGTGGTCTTTTGAGCAACTGGGTCTAGCAGAAGGTGTCTCTGCCCGTGGCAGGGGGGTTGGAACTACACGATCTTTAAGGTCCCTTCCAACCCAACCTACTCTATGGTTCTATGATTTGAACACTCTTCCAGCTTCAGATACCCTCGTCAGAAGCACGGGTGTCAATGAAGGTGGGCAGAGAGGCTTTCAGGAGCACCGAGCTGTAGTACTTGCCAGTAGCAGGCTGCATGCGAGTCCGTTTGACTGTGCAACCCATGTGCTGAAGTGATCCTGACGCCAAAGTCGTGCTTCTTTGTCCTCAGTCCCATTTGGTGAAGTGCCGAGCTGCATGCCCTGCTGTCGTTGTCAGTGTCATATAATACCAACGACTTTCGGAAAGCACTAATGAACAAGTGCAATTTCTTTTCTCTATTGTTGGGTTTTTTGTAAAGTTGCTCAAATGCTCTCAGGTATGGCGGCCCTGAACGGAGGACTCGGCGCAACAGGCTTGACGAACGGTACGGCCGGCACGATGGACGCGCTCACCCAGGCCTACTCAGGAATCCAGCAGTATGCGGCCGCCGCGCTGCCCACCTTGTACAGCCAGAGCTTGTTGCAGCAACAAAGTGCTGCCGGCAGCCAGAAGGAAGGTAAGAGCCCAGCGGAGCGAGCCCCATACCAAACAAGCTGCCTGCAACCACAGGAAAGCGGTGCTGTGGGGTCATTTCTCCCCAGAAGTTTAACAAAGGACCTCAGGAGCCTAATCTTGGGGCTGGGATTTTTTTCGGTTAGCTCGATATTGTTACTTTCTTTAACTTCTGATGGAATTAATTTTTTAACCATCTGTCCTACAAGTTATACGTAGAATCGCTTAGGTTGGAGAAGACCTTTAAGATCGTCGAGTCCAACCGTTAACCTAGAAATACCAGGTCCAGTGCTAAACCATGTTACTACTTCATCGGACATCCTTTCTTGTACAAAATCATTCACCAGCTGCCACATAAAAAGCCACCAGTAACAAAAATCATCCCATTATGGGTGCCATTCTCTCTTCTGGTTGCCATAAAGGAGTCAATCTGATTAGGTTTAAGGTTTTGAGTTAATGACAAGATCCGTTTTTGCTTTGAGTGGTTCTTTGCTTAATTGTGGGTCTTGTGGGGAAGCAACTAAGTGAATGATTGCCCCCTCTACCCGTGCCAACAGCAAATAAACCTCAGGAAGTTACTGCTAAGAATAAATGAATACTAATTACAAGATGTTTAGGAAAATCTGGTTACCCTTTTTCCTGCTTCCCTTCCCCTGCACACTTCCCAGCAATTTGAGGGGTTTCTTTCTGTTTTCATGGCTTGCTGTCATCTTAATTTCTAGCTAATTCTAGAAGGACAGGAAAATATTGCATGCTTCCTAGGATTATATCGATGTTGTCACTACTGTTCTTGCCGGTGCTAAGCTTTGGTAATAAACCTAGTATAATAGCCTCAAGAGATTTTTTTTATCCTTTTTTAAAATAGTGTCTTGTACTGTTATGGGAAATGTTTCCTAGCAAGATCTATTTGGCATTCTCCCAGCTGACTATTGTATGGGGACACAAGTTAAAATATGTGTTTTGTCTGAATTCTTTACTTCATTTAGTGCTAGCAGCTTAGATTATTGAAAATTTAATCATTTTTTTTAACCAACTTTTTCCTCTTTCTTTTTGGTCTCTGCATTCATCTTTCATCTTGCTCACTGTGGTCGGTGGTGATAGACTGCCACCGGAAAGAAACCGTTTATTTGCTGTCATCATAAGATACATATCGGAGGGCAGTTTGATTTTTTCCCAAGCATATTAACTTCTTTCTCTTTATGAACATTCGTATCAGTTGTAAGCTTCCTTTTTTTTTATTATGAATTGGCAGCGACCATTTTACAATATGGTATTTTTTGTTATATATCTTGTTTCTGTCAGCAAGGGGTTAAGTTAAAGTGAGTAAATTCATTCACTGAATACCGACAACTATGCTTTGTCTCTTAACATGATTTCTGATGGAATAGTGAAGAGTCTGGAGTGGCTGAGGATAAACAAGTACCAGATGAAAATGCTATATTAAATATTAAATGCTGAAGCATGGTGAGCCACCTCATGCATATGCTCTAAGCTATTTTCAATAATTTTTTATTATTATTATTTTTAAAAATATTATTTTCTGGATAAGGTAGTTTACTTGCAGTAAGAAGAAATGAGTTCCAGGTGGCAAATTTTTTTCCCTCTTTTTTTTTGCCCCCCAAAAATTTTTTTTCTCAAAGCCATCATTTTTCCTAATCCATTTATCCCCTCCTTTTGGGCAAACATTGCAACTTTCTCCTTCAGGCTGAAAGAGCAGCCAGCCTGGTTCTTCTGCATGGGAGATGTGAGACTTCATGACTCTGTTGCAGAAGATACTACATAGATCTGATGCGTACTTTCCTCTTCCTCTCTAGAAAACCAGGGACATCATATCTGAGGCACACTTAGGTTCTGTTAAGCAAGGGAATACTTAAAGAGGTTACTGTAGATGTTTTTTTACCAGAAATGTTTCTTCCCCTTCCCCACTTATGCTCCTGGTGTCTGCATGGAAAAGCCACATGTCTGGCTCCATCATACATCATGTTCTTCCAGGCATCCATTTCTCATTTCTAGTATGTTATTGTAAAGAAGAAATTGATCTAGGGAAAAAAAAATAACTTACTGGTGCTAGGATGAGCATTTAAACCAATAGCAGTAATAATGTGTATGTCAAATTCTGGCTGTAAGAAAAATATTCAAAGCACCTTTAAGTTTGCACCTTTCTTTGCAAAGTCAACTTTGTCTAAAGTCACTTTAATTTCAACCCAACTACTTTATTTGGGGCTTTTTAAAAAGACTTATATATACAAAATTTCTTCCAGGAGACAGAGCTTTCTATGGAGAATTTGTATTTTGGAAAAAAAAAAAAAGTCATTTTGAAATTAATCAGTACAAATTTAATTCTGAGTATCTTTCTCTCTGACTTCCCTGATTTCCAAGGCACAAGGTTTGCTTTGTCTTACCCATTTTATTCCCTTCTCTAACACATTCCTGCCCTTTGAGTTTACATCTGTGATAATCAAATCTGAGCTCAGCTCATTGCGTTTCCATAAATTCCCACAACTTGAAGTAAACCAATAAACCCATGCAGGTGTTTGAGGCAGTGGAGGACTCCTTGTGCAGTTCTTGGAGTATTATGAGAGAATAATGCTTTGTGTACCTGGTTTTCTGTCCGTAATTATACTGAAAGACACTCACATAAATTGAAGAAAGAGGCTGCAATTTAACTTTTTCTGTGGTAGAGCTATCAAGTAAACACTTTGCAAGATAGGATGCTCTGAAGAGCTGCATTTCAGCTCTGTTGCTTTGATGATCCACTTGCTTTTGTTCCTTCAAAGTTGGAAAGTGAAATGCTTTCTGACCATCACCTTCAGTAAGTATTATGGAAAAATAGATTAGATATAGCACTTGCAATAGCTGTTTTCATACTTCTTTTTGTTTATTTTCCTAAAGGTCCAGAAGGGGCAAACCTCTTTATTTACCACCTCCCCCAGGAGTTTGGAGACCAGGACATTCTGCAGATGTTCATGCCTTTTGGAAATGTTATCTCTGCTAAAGTCTTCATTGACAAACAGACCAATCTGAGCAAGTGCTTTGGTATGTCAAATTTAATAAATCGAATAGTAAAAACCACATGCACTGTACTGAAAAGGGGCCAGGAAAGAAAATTAACAGCAGTGTGAGAAATGTCATACTGGAACCTCATTCTGAAAATAATGGACTGCTAATCCTCAAATGAGCAGGAAGATGCACAGACAAACTACTTCCAACTAAAAATTGGATATGAAAAAACAATGATAATCTTCCAGTCTGACATCTCCATGAATGTGTCAAGTACATGAAACTAATTACACCCTATGTGGGGGAATGTCATTTAGTATACTATTAAAGTGCCTTATTATGGATACCTAATTATTCTCTATTGTATAGCTGAGCCACTTAAAAGCGCTCTATGTTTAACCCATTACTTCTACATTACAGGAATTTCTTTCGTCTGATTAAGTACAAGATTTTGCAATTAGTGATTGAATGGCGTGTACATGTAGCTCAGAACACTTTGCAGACAGTTGACGTCTGTGACGCTCCAGCTGTTGCGGGTGGGCTCCAGTGTCTTATGGAAGGTGGCATCTCCCCGTACTTTAGGGCAGCAGTGAGGGGAGCCTCACAAGATCAGTGTCAAGCTTCCCCAAGAACGCTTTGAGCTGCCAGAAAATGAGATCACAACAGAGGAGAAGGTGATATGTTGGTATAAAACAAGTTCTAGAGTTAATCAAGTGGGCTCGTGTCTTTTGAATAGCTTAGATGCACTAGCTCAGTTCTTTGATGGAGTGGAGTACAGAATGTAAGCAAGTGGCAGGCTGGTAGAGCTTTGGTTTAATATTTTCAGTCTTATGCAAGGCATGAGGAGGGTGTAGGAGGAGGAAAGAATCTCTTAAAGATAAGTGTTATCAGATTTGACCTCACATCTTGGGGTTACCCTAACAGTGACAGTTCTTGCCCAGAGTAAAGGAACACAACTGTATGTATGACAGAAGAGTAACCGGTCTAGCCAACCCCCTAGTTTCCAAAACTCCTTTGTACCAACAGTGCTGCTCTTTGCCTGGCACCATCCCTTAATTCTGAAGTGTCACCATTGACCATAATACGTGTTTTTTAACTGGAGTATCATTATTTTTTTTAAAATCTAGATTTTGTTAAAAAGCATCTGTTTAAGGTTTTGTCTCCAACAGAAGCCATTCAAGGACCCCACAGCTATTGGGTTTTAACCCGTCCTGAAAGGATATGAATTTACCTAAACAGATAGTACCCAAAAACAAGAAGAATTCATCAAGTTGCTCAGAAATGCCTGCTGCCCTGAAATTCAAGCCTTGCCACAATTTGAGGGTTTTTCACCTGAAGAGAAGCCCTTAGTATGCCTGGAAAGTTAATTCAGCTCAGGAGAAGGATGTGACATTCTTTCTGCATTCTTCCATAGTCTTTCAGTTTGTTTTTGAAGCAGTTACCTCTTCAAGCTTTAGAAAAAACTGTTCAAATCTAGACCAATATAGTCCAGCATGTTTCTGCAAGGGATTAAAATGGTCCCTGAGGCCGTAGCAAATTTGAAACGTGGAATTGAGATGGACTCCCTGTTGACCTGGAGCCAGTTCAGTTACTATGCTGGTGTGACAAAATCATTCTTGAGGTCTCCAGGAATCTTGACGAGATGTCAGATCAAGCTACGTTAATCGAAATGCAGCAATTGTGGTGACTGCTGAAAGAATGAAAATTACTTTGAGCAGGTGGCTCAGTTCATCAGATCACTCCCCACACTTGCTTTTTGTGGCTTTCCTCTTTGATTACCTGCTTAGACATTTGTCTGGATTTGTGGGACACGAGAGTGACGTACCAAGGTTATCCTGTCTGAGGGAAAATGGAGGAGTCAACGTCCAATGGATGGAGGAGCCCTCTGTCCTTTTAGCACTAGTCAGCTTTCACTAACATTTCAATTTCTCATTCTTCCTTCCCAGATATTCTGCCACCAGTGAGAGAGTTTTGCTTTAAAAGCAAAAAGTACTGCAGTGGCAGAGGAAATAGAGGTTTTCTGATTCAGTAGGTGACTCCGTGGTGATGCTGCTAATCACAGGCAAAGCCAGAATTAATCCTGTAGTTTAACATACTAGCGTAGTCTTTATGTACCTGCTCAGCTTTATTAGCAGGAATTGTCTGTTTGTTGTTTTGGTCCTATATTTGTGGTTTTAAATCTTTTTTTTTTTGCTATGTCTTCCCACCCAAAAACTAGGACAACAGTGCATCTGAAGAACCCGTTTCTCTCCTATATCATTAGTGGTCATTCCTCTGGGTACAGTTTGGGTTTGGTTTTATTTGATTGGTTGGTTTGTTGGGGTTTTTTTTCCCTTGTAGTAGTTGTAATAATAATTATTATTAATAACAGTAATAATAATAATGTTTTGCATGTGCTTGGTACTTTCCACTCTTGAGTTTCCAATCTTCTGCCCAAATGAGAAGTGAAATTACAGATAAAAACAGGATGAACACCAGAAAGGTGAAAAGATTGTCAAGTCTGTGCACTGGCAGAATTGGGGAGGGAAGGTGCCTTCTGAGTGAGTCGCAAGGCAGTGATGAACTTTTATTTAACACTGCAGCTTAAAGTGAAAAATTACTTTTCTTGCAGAAGGTGGACTTTGGCATTATTTGCTTTCTTGTCCACCTCAAACAAATGCTCAAAAGATTAAATGGTGATAAGGATGACAGGACAGTGTTTATGCCTGGAAGTGCTCTTCCATGAGCTCAAGTTGATTCAGCAGCCAAAGGGTTTCATTCTTCAAGCTTATCTCTTGCCTTTCGTAGACCTTAGAATAACAGAAATGAGAGATGTAATAGTGAGGCAGGAGAGGGCCACCCAGTGACATGAGTATGTAAATGTAGTTTGCCTCATGGCAAAATCGCAACTGGAATGATTAAAAATATTTATCCTGATTATAGAGATACCTTAGAGATTTAAACGAAAAATCAGAATTGTCATGACTAGGTCTTTAAAAATTGATAAGAAACATCACGCCGTCCTCATGTAACCTGCGGTTTAAAATTCAGAAAAAAAATTATGAATAGGTGCAATCAAAAAACATAAATAGAAGGAGAGAATGCCAGATTCCCCTGTACACTTTAAGTGTAACAGGCTAATGTAGATGCAGCATTCTGTGTAAAGAGACAAATTGTGAATCAGAAAAACAACTGAATGATAAAGGCTGGTGCCACCAATGCAGCACAGAAGTTGTATGTTTGAATTTGTGCCTGCGTCAAGGAAGGTAATAAAGAGATAAAGTGAGGTGACTCGTTTCACCTCCCTGGAATGTACATAGAGCCTGAGCTCCAGTTCTTCTGTCATCAGTGGAGGTGTCTTAATTGGCGACATGAATGGTGGGTGGAAAAGCCACTTTGGGTGTCCTTGCTTCTCTTCATTCACCATTCGCAGATGCGAGCCAAGTGACTAGTTTAGATCAGTTGCTTGACTTTTGAGTGGCTAAAACTGTCTAAGAGGAAAAGGAACTAAGGTGATGAGGAGTTCATAGTAAAAGACTGTTCTTAATGCACATAAGAGAACAAAATGAAGGTCAGAAAAGCCGTAGAGGAAAATTCTGAAATGTCAAGGTAGGTAAGAGCAGCTACATTTCAGCTGTGGAGCACCTGCCTGGAAGGTGCTACAGCTGCCTCCCAACTCATGGCAGATCTCTTTTCTATCCCTGAGGCAATCCTAGAGATAAAGACAGAGATCTGCGAGATGATGGAAGTAGACACAGGAATGCAGTGCTAAGACAGTGATTTGAGTCGTGTGAACAGAGAGGATCTCCTAGAATAATACAGAGGAAAGGAAGAAAGGAAGGGAGTGATGGAGCTCCTCGGGATCTGGCAGGAATATTAAGAGGAAATAACCTGATGGAGAAAGTGAGGAAGTGACAGGAGTTAATAAAACCAAGGAAGGTATGGAGGAACATTTATTATCCCTTAAGGAGGTAACAAATAAGCAACCACAGAACAACGTGAATAGAACATGCTGGCATTGAGCAGGAGAAAGTCTGCAGAGATTGAAGTGAGAGGTAGTTTTGAGTGGAAGGAACAGAAGTTAGCCTGAATTGTTTCTTAGTTTGGTGAAGTTGATACAGGGTGAAACCATAGGGATGGTCTGTGGAGGAGAGCAGCTCCTCCAGGGGACCAGATGGTAAGATGATAAGAGAGTTTTTTCTTTACAATGGGGAAAGTGTCTCATTCTGACACTGAAAATGGAAGAGGGCAGCAGTGCAAGGTAAGCAAGAGCCCTAAAAGAACAGGTTAAAAGGATGGTAAAAAGAGGTTATGAATCAGAAGATTACGCAGGCACTAGGCATGAATGAAGAAAGCTGGTAGGAGAGAGGCTCCGAGGAGCCTGTGTTAGGACTGAAAACAAAGTGTGTGGGATCCGTGCTTTAACCAAGTGAAGGGATATGTGTTAAGGCAAATTCAAGCGGAAAGAAGAGGGAGCATTTCAAAGCAGATGCATAATAGCAGGCTGAGCACAGTAGTAATTAGCCAGAGCTGAGGCAGAGCAGCAGTTAGGCGAGCTTTGCAATTACAAGTGGGAGGCCCAGATATGAAAATGAATTTTGAGCTTCCAGAATCAGGGAGATTTGAGTCCATTATGAACAGAGCATTTTTAGTCTCCCGGGGACAAGAAAGCTGAGCCAGGCCAGCCATTCTGAATTACCCGAGCAAGCCTTATGCCCCTAGTTAGTGCTCGCAACCGCGGAGCAGATCTGGAGTTCTCGTCAAGCCCTGCCGTTGTCTTTACGGTGCTGCTTAATTTCAATGCTCACATACCCCTTTGGGGGCCAAGAGGCTGAATTAATTAACATTTAATGTACCTTGAGATCTTGAACTGGAAAGAACTGTAAAAATACCAAATATTAATATTGCAACTGTCCTGGGCTAAGCCCAAGGAGATGAGTGTTTCGTAGCACGAGGGACCAGCGCACATGAGCTTGCATTTAGGTGTGCAAAAGCACGTAGGCATCGAAGTTTGGGGTTTGTTTCTGCAACCAGGCTTTCTGTTTCAGCTTCACATCTGCAGGCTGGCCTGATCGAACTTCCTAACAGACTGGGAGGTAGGTAGGTATTACGCTGAAAAAGTGTCACAGTAATAAATGTCTTCAGTCTAAACGATAGGTAGATAAATAACAGATTGGAAACTGCATTGCACCAAAATTGGCCAACTGCATCCCAGCTAGTAAAGAAATATTATGAAGGTAAAGGGGAAGGCAAAGGAAATGAGAGAGGAAATGGGATACGAAGTGTGGTCAAAGAACTAATTGAAAGTGAGGTAAATGTGTCAAGTAAATAGTAATAATAAAATCCTAACAAAACGCCTTGTGACATTTGTTCTAACCTATAGTTCGCTTTCTCTCCCGCCTCCGTTCTGTGTCTCGTAGGTTTTGTTAGCTATGACAATCCAGTCTCTGCACAAGCTGCTATCCAGGCTATGAACGGCTTTCAGATTGGCATGAAACGCTTGAAGGTTCAGCTGAAACGCTCCAAAAATGACAGCAAACCTTACTGATCTTAACCCCAGATGCTTACTGCTCTTATTTTAGCTTTCTTAGGGTAAGTCCCATGAGCAAACCTGTCCTCTGCAGGGGGGTTAAGAAAGAACATAGAGCCAACCTTCACCAAGAGACAGTTATTTTTACAGTTACCACTTCCATTTCCCCACTTGTCCTTATTGCACTTGGCTCCCATTTCCTTGCCAAGTAATTACTGAGTTGTGTTACTGTATTTTGTTTTGCAGCATAATTTATCTCCTTTTTAAAACAAAAATAAATGTCTTGAAATTCAAAGCAACACACACACACATAAAAAAAAAATGTGCAATTTAACTCTGTGAACCCTGGTGCCATTAGCACACAATAAAAGTTGTTTTCTATGGATGGATCGTATTTTACCAGGGTGGCACCAGCAGTTTATAGGTTAAACAAAATGGCCTCGTGCCAGTTGAAGCACTTATTTTGCAAGAAAAATTGAAACAAGTCTTTCCACTACATCAACTTGTTTTTTAATAAGATTTGATTTTTTTTTTTTCGGTTTGAATCAACGTATTGTTATATATTAGTCTGATTTTACACTGGTCGTCTTTATATTTCACTTTTTTTTAAGTTCTTGGTTTTTTGGAAAGGATTAATGTAAAAAAGATTTAGAGATCTGTTTCTAAAGCTACAGGGTTTAAAATAAAATAAAAAATAAAATAAAATGAGTGACGATACTTGATGTTTCTTGAGAGATAAATTTAATAATAAATAAAAAAGAAAGCCACAGGCCTGTAAATTTTATTTGTAAAAAGCATTTCTATTTTTATACAAAATTTTTACTGCCTCAGAAATAATGGAAGTTATTTATTGCCTATTGTTAACTTATTGGATACCTAAAGAGCAGCTCTATGCTAGCTAGATCCTTTGAAGTAGTCTCTAGAGTAATCGTGCCAAGAATGGGCGCTTTTTCACTGTTGAACCCTGCTCCCTTTACAGTTCATGCTTTTATCCTCTTGTTTGTATTTGTCTGGTTATTTTGTTCGTAGTTTCCATTACCTAGTTGAAAGTTCGGTTGTCTGACCGTTTTTTCCCCCCTCCCCGTACCTTTCTGTTACGTTTGTAGAAACTGGTTCTTTCCTTTCTTTCCTCCCCAAAGAGGAATCCATTCTCTCTGACTCCTTTCAGATGGATTCTTTGGGGGTTCCATTGTGCTCTTGTTGACAAGTATTGTGAGTTAATGCAAATTATGCGAACGGCTCATAGACTCTACTGATAAAAGATTTGCATTAGTTTTCTCCTGCACCCATAAAAGTGATTTTGTTTGTGCTGCATAGACTCTGTGTAACTTTTTTTCCTCTTCCTTGTTTTTTCCCTAGACATCTCCATGCCCGTTAGCCCATCGTTTGCCTAGCATGTCCCTGTGGCGTCTCAAAAAAAAAAAAAAAGTTTCATCGTCCCGTCATTGTTTCTGATGTCTTTCTGACCTCACATCATATTTGGTTCTCCTACTGACCTTTGATCTAGTTTGACCTTTGAAATTTGCATGTGACCTCATCTAGCTATGAATTCTGGGAAGTCAATGTGAAAAAACATTGCTGCATTCATGCAAGACTGAAATTTATTATTAGATAAATTAATGATAGGATTTAAAAACAACCTGTGGCAAAAATGTTTTTGCTTTCTTTCCTTTTGTTTTTGGTTTTCTTTTCTTTTTTCCTTTGTTGTTTTTTTTTCGTTTGGGTTTTTTGTTTTGGTTGATTTTTGGTTGGTTGGCTTTGGTTTTGTTGTTTGGTTTTGTTTTTTTTTTCATTTCGTAAAAAAAAAAAATAAATAAAAAAAACAGACTTGAAAGTATTATACAGGGATTGGCATTCTGCCTGGTCACTGGTGACAATAGCAATATGTGTCCAGAGGCACAGAATGTTGGTTTCTAACAGACTACTTCCAAAACAGTTTGAGAAATAAAACTGTCTGATTTTAAGTCTCTAGAGGTCTGTAATAGTTTTTACATTTTTCAGGCAGTGTAAAGTTTTTTGATAAGGCCATTTTAGGTGGCTCACTTTCTCATTAAAGTATATATATAGAACCACTTTTTGTAGATTAGTATAAGAAAATATTTACCCTGTTTTAGGGCAAATGCTACCTACTTGTGTCACCTTTTGCTGAACTGACTCACAGTTAGACAATCCATGGTTTAATGCACATGAAATTACCTATATTTTATACTGTTTCAATGTACAGAAGAAAGGTTACTGTAAAATGTGTTACGTTGGTGCTTCTGTGAATTAAGTTGTGGTTTCATCATGAGTCTTATGGTCTTAAGTGTTCTATGTTTATAAAAGAAGGGTTTAAAATTGGTTTACTTGAACAACAAGAACAAAAACAAGATTCAAAAAAAAATACAAAAAAAAAAGTTGTTTGCTTAAAAAAAAAAAAATTTCATGTGAAAAATGAAAAAATATTCCAGAATAAGTTTGTGTTGGCTTGTGACGCATTGATGTCATTTTTTTATTGTGAACAATTTAGATGTGTTTGTGTTCAGCAAAATGTGATCGGTTTTTCTTTTAAAGAAAAAAAAAATCAGTGAAACTATAGTGCCAAATTCCAAAGGTACTTTCTTCCTAGAGCTTCAGTGTGTTTCTTGTGTGAAGTAATTTGATAACATGGGTATTTTATTATGTGTTTTGTATAAATCCCTAATATTTAAAGAAAAAAGAGGTTAAAAAGTTTGTTAACTTGCTATCCTGTGGTCTTGTTGCCTGAAATTGTTATTGTTTGTTATTTCTCTTTGATGTTTTTTGTAAAACATTGTATAAGTGCCCATGTTTCACTTTTTTAACCACTCTGCACACATCAATGCTGTGAAAGCAAACCTCACTATGTATTTTCTTCATATTGTATGGAAACCTCTAAGGTGAGAAAGTTTTGAACTTTTAACCCTTTCCACCCAGAGCTGTCTTGAGTGTTAATACCTTTTATACATTCACCATTTTGCTGTTTATTTTTATATATATATCTATATCTATAAATATATATA